TTAATTTAGGTACAACGGCAAGTAGTGATGAGACTGATAAGTTTGAATCAGAGTCCAGTTCTGAAGAAAATGATATTGATTTAAATAATTTATACGAGCTATCCAATAAATATTTTCTTTGTCTCTTGTTATAATATATTTTTTTAACAAAGAACCGGTTTCACCAAATGTAAAACGTAATCTTAATTTTTTCAAAGTGACTTCTTGTATTCGTGTAAACGCACCTTAATAAAGTTTACGCTGCTAAGCAACAACAAAGTGCAACTGAAATAAGAAGACACATGCAAACTGTAACTAAAAATGCGATATTCTTTTGTTATGGGACTTGGGGTATTTCTATCACTTTAGTACTTACTTTTTACTTATAAAATGTTTATTAAATAAACTACATTCTCAATTAGACAAAGTAATTTCTTTGTCGGATCTACCGACAATCGTTAGATCCAGTCAGGTGTTCGGCCGATCTGCAGCCTGTAGATATTCATCATCTTGAGGCTTAAATGAGTCTACTCCTTACCAGGCCGGTATTATTTTATTGTCATTTATTATGCTTACGCAGTGAGTAAACGATTTAGTGGTATGTCTGATATTATGTCTATTTTCCCTGAAAAAGCTATTGAAAAAACAGGGTTTTGAAGCGTGGTTTGTGTTTGTTCGTTAGTTTCTGGAGGTTTGTAGTCACTACTCGTGCTTTAAGCTGATTGACTGACCATCAGATCGAGTACCCACCAATGGTGGGCCCTCCAACCGATACCCCGCCGACCGCTCAGTCACCACCGACTTGGGTTGCAGACCTAGATCGGCGTACTATTATTGTCCGTGTTATTGTGCTTCATTTTTGTCTCGTTTCAGCGTCTGTAGATTGTCAGGTTTTCATGGAGCCGAACATGCTTCCTATTTTGGCTGTTTTCGTCTGATAATTGATTTATGTCTTCCTTTAAGCCGGGGAAGACTATTTTGATAGAATTTATCTGATAATTGTAGGATGTACTGCTTAATAGGAAGATTGTTTGTTCTCTCATGTAGTTCTGTGATTCCGGCGTCCCTTCCACATCCAAGGATTAACCTCAGACACCTGTTTTGCGTAATTTGCAATTTTTTAAAATGAGTTCCCAGTCGCAGTACTTGTTTATTGCTACGTGTGACCTTGCCATTACGACTCAGCATCGGATAGAGTGTGCGAATCATCACAGTCGTTTTGGCCACACGGTCGCTGATATGCCGTTTGAACGTCAATCTCCTATCTAAATGAAAACCAAGATATTTTATGGACTTTTTGGGCTCAATTGCTTGATTTTGGAATTTAAATTTATTTATTATACCCTCAGTCTTTCTCTGGATGAGCAGCGTATCTTTTGTTTTTGTTGGATTTATTTTCATCTTTTTCTCTAGATAAGGGATCATCGTTGTATTGATATGAATGTCCAGTCTCCTGGTGGCGATTTCCACGGTTTGTGATGACTTATAAACACAGGTGTCGTCGACTTACAGCGCCGTCTGTATCCCATTCTGATCGAATTCCGTGTCATAATGCAGTACAGATGCGGTGAAAGTACTGACCCTTGGGGTACTCCGGCATCAGCTCTGTAAGGTCCTGTCCGAGTGTGTTGTATTTTTGTGTAGCATTTTCTGTCTTGTAGGTAAGAAATAATTATTTTTATAATGTGACTGGGTAGTCTATCACAATCATTTTGTATATCAACCTAGAGGTCCAGTCGGTGTCAAACGCCTTTTCGGTGTCTAGGGCCACCATTACTGTTTGGCGCTTAGTATTGAATGCCCTTTTTGGCCTGGTGCGCAATGTTTATTATTTGTGCAACAGTACTATGACCCTCTCTGAAACCGTACTGTTCCTGAGGGATAATACTTTTTTCGTTTCAATATTTAGTAGTTGCGCGAGTATAACTCAGTCAATAATTTTCGAGATTCCACTTAGAAGATAAATCGGCCTGTAACTTTCTGCAAAATTTCGGGATTTTATTTGGCTTTTTAATTGGAATATCTGATATTTTTAAACTTTCCAGATAGTGCTGCAATTTAAATATACCATTAACTATATGATGGACTTGCCACTATTGCTTTTTTAAGTAGAATATTACTGATCTCGTCCGGACCGGGACGTTCTTTCTGCGCAACCCACACAGAATGCTATGTTTCTTTTGGGGTGGTTAGATCTCCCTGATTCACTGGGAAGTTGGGGATGTTATTTAATTCATTAAAAATGTCCTCGATTTCAAGAATGGCTTCTAATACCTACCACTCAAATATAAACTGGCAAATCGTTGATCGTGTCAAAACACAAGCAACTATAGGCGATTACCTTTGATCCGTGTTTAAAAAACCGATTACTCATCAATTACTGACGATCATTGCCAATTATGGATGGTCTCAGACAAATAGGACCTCCACACGCTGGTATAACTCGCCTGTTATCTCCCACAATGGCCGATTGTAGGTTTGTTCCAACACAATAGCAAATCGGTTTACGTACTGTCTGGATTCTGCGCAGTCTAGATTTGATGTTCCTACAAACCTCGGACTCAAAACTGTACAAAAACCTGTTGTTCCAACATACTCAAACCTAGTCACAAACCAGTTTCTGTATTGTCAAATCAGTTGTTCTTGGGTCTGAATAGGAGCGAATTGTCAAGACATGCGCAAAACGAAAGTGAGCTCGTAAATAAATCACGACCAACTCTGGAAATTTTGTGATTATATTCGTTTTGATAACATCATCGATCGTAGTCTCGATCGTAATTTGGTTTTTATTCATTATCTTTATTTATAGTATATTATTTTATGAGTAATGACTGTAGAAAGTGAAAAGGACTATTATTCTGACTTAGATACAGTAAAAAATAAAATAAGTTAATGTACTAACCAATCGAATAATCAAAATTTATAAATCTTCTAATGAGTTTTAATTTTTTTTTTTTGACTTTTACGTTATTGACAGTGTGTCTGACAATAGAAACATGTGTTCCATACAACCAAGTTCCGAATTCAGTCCCAATCATCGACAGGTCGTCGACTGGGCAATTCATTATATTCTTAGAAACCTTTATACAATAACTATGCCTGTGATTTCGAATAATTAACTTTTTTAATGTATATATCGTTAGTTGATCTTGTGTTTTAATCATGAATATCCCCGTGATAACAAATAAATTGATGAAAGTAGGATGGAGCCAAAGAATTTGAATTATTTTATAAATAAACATTTATAAATTAGTTGCAAGTACACATTTATTTATTCATTTATTTTAGGAGATGAATTTTCAAAATAACGAAACTTCTCGAGAACACAAAAAACGGAAAGATTTGTCTTAAGTAATAAAGCATAATGCGTTTCGTGTCAAAAATATATTTTTTGTGGTGTAATTCCCTTTTAGGACATCCTGTAATAATTCATAAATTTTTAAAATGTAGTCCAAATTGATACATACACATTTTGCTACATACGCAGATTTCTAAATCAGTATAACCTTTCCCTTGCCTGATGCGTTACTCTTGGTTCTCGTTGTAGTCCCTCGGCTGACTACAAAAAATGACACGTCGCTTTTATGCCCGCTCTTTGTAGTTGAGTGAACAAGTTGTACTATTTTACGGCGGTGACAGTGGTCATGTGACCTGTAAAATTTAAAGTAAAGTTGTCCATCCATAGATTTTTATAATAGGTCAGTAAGCAGGTGAAAAATTTAACATTAATTGCACACAGTTTTACCGAACCATTTTGTGTAAATTATATAAAATTCATCATGCTATCATCGGAGAGAATTGCATATTTTAACAGGCATTTAAGGCAATATTAGCTAGTTACTGTGATTTTGCAATCATGTTAATAGTTTGGTTACTAAATGAGATCAAATAATGTTATCTAACGGCAATTAATTACTTTGCCGAAGTCATAAGTGGCTGCAAATTCAGCTCCAGATCTTAAATATGGAAATAAAAATGATATCAAATTTGCAGCTGTGCTATATTTTTTGATCGTCCAACAATTCATTAATTTATTTTATTTTTACCACTTCAACAATGTTGCCGATCCTGTATCGAGTTGCAAAATTGGTTAGTTTCGATTCATTTGATACTTTATCTTATCACGAAATTTAAAAAATGTTAAAACTAATGCAACATTTTTCGGGTCGTACGTTTCTACTTACTAGCCTATAAGTGAAGGTAGTGATGGAGGAGGTGGAAGTATAGTGCAAAATATTTGCAATTTACATAGCTAAAACAAGTCCTACAAGTCTCGAAAGTAACAAGAAAATGCTAAATTTCCGAGAGAAAAAAACGGCTCTTGTTTGTGCGCATAAATTAAGCAAATTGCGGCCATAAATTAGATAATTTCAAAAAACAGAACACTTTTCGTCAGGTTACATAATATATTTTTTTGCAAATGAACTCTTTCGCCGACAAAAAAATCCTTGCAATATTATCTTATGGTACAAATATAGTGAAGCGGCGAGGTAAGGGGGCGTTTCTCATATCGTACAGTACGATAAGATTGAAAAGGCAAGTCAGAATTAAATGCGCAGTGGCAAATCTAAAAAATTTACTATTTTGAATTGTTGCCAGTCTGCATCTAATTCTGACTTGCCAACTCAATCTTGTCGTACTGTACTATATTTTAAATTTGAAGCGGCAAATTGTCGCTTAGAGCTTCAGTATGTACGTATCAATTTAAAATATAGTACGATATAAGAACCGTCGGCTTACCTCGCCGCTGCCTCTACCCTCGCCGCTTCATTATGTTTGTACCCTTAGGTTCAGAAAAATCACGTTAAAGCTATAAACCAAATATCTTTGAATACAGTAAATATTGCTCCCACCGCCGGGACATAGTACAATTTATTTACCCTCTCCCTACGTCAAACTACAAAGAGCGAAAAAAAGCGACGTGTCTCTTTTTGCGATCCGCTGAGGGTCTATTGTAGAATTAGAATTTGAAGTGTCTTAAGAGGTTAGTTGTTTAAACTCTAATTATTATTTATTTGCAGATCGCGACGAAACAGCAACAGCGATTGGTCAGAATGGAAGAACATAAGAGGAGAATAGAGAGCCGAAGCCGCAGAGAGAAGGACCGACGCGGTTCTTTTAGACGGCGCTGACATTGGCGCTGCTCTAATTTTTTTAGCTTTTTCAGGACTTGAATAAAGTTTTTTTTTTTCGTTTGAATGCTAGAAGTGTGAATGTTTGTTTATTTACTCCTTAGTATTTAGGTACCTCCCCTAGGGTCTTAACTTTTTTTTTGATTAGATGGATGTGTAAAGAATGAATGGTTTTAGGTTTCAGTAATCTGATTGTTATAGGTCTTCGTTTCTGAGTGACAGCAACGGATGGTCCAGCCTCAGAGAATCCTTCTTATGGAGCAGTGGTGTTTCTCTTTTGAAGGGAGTCGGGAAAGTGATAAAGACCTGCTTTTGTCATTTGTTTTGGAGTTAGTATTTTTGATATTACGTCAAATTGAATGCCATCAGTTTAAAAAATAACTTAATACTGCATGACATTGACTTGTTAATTATAGCGAAAACAACAATTTAGGATAATAAAATATAAATATAAAGAAAATTCTGGTTTTATTTTTGTACATTTAAGTGAAGTATTTTTAACTTACGTACAAGTATTTAATCGAGTTTGGATAACTTCAAATATACAGTGTGTACAAAAAGTAACGTAACGTATTAATATTTTGATTTTTGGCAGGTTTATAAAAAGTTTTTCGTTGAAAGTTTGAAATCAAGTAACCAGTATAAGTCAATTAGAAATATTTTTTCAAACAGTTTTAGAATTAATAAAGTTAGCACTATGCGGTTTTAACGGTTATATTTTAAATTTAATACAGTACAAAAAAAACCTGAAAAATTTACTCTTGTTGTTTTGGTGCACCCAGTGTATTTCTAATTAACTTTATTTATTACATAAAACTTAACTTTTCAGAAATCGAAATATTAGCAAGTTACGTTAATTTTTGTACATTACAAGCAACTTCAATTCAAAGAATTTTCTCCAAGCGTAAATAAAATTCCATAAAGTAGAAAAACGATCACCTCTGAAATACCCCCTAGATATTCCGACTATGCTCAAAATTTATTAATTTCACCGCAAGATGGATTAAAGCCTACATTTAAAATTGATTGTTTTTCTCTTTATCCGTTTTTGAGTAATATTCGAAATTTACACATTTTTTCAAATATCTCGAATACTGTCTATTTTAGAGAAATTATCTATAAGACAAGAATTGTAGAAAATGGCATTACAAACAATTTTCTTAAAAATTTAAATTTTTTACATTTTGTCAAATTTTTCGAATACGGACCATTTCAGGAAAATTATAGAGAATCATATTATAAGTAACTTTTATTTGAAGAATTTTCTTCTCTAAACGTAAATAACACATATTCCATAAAATATAAAAACGACCCCCTATAAAGTACCCTCCCAGATGTTCAGACTCTGCAGAAAATCTAATCGGTTCATCGCAGGTCGGAATGGAGCTTCATTTAAAATGTAATGTTTTTCTCTGAATCTATTCATGAGTTATCGAGTATAAAGATACGCACACACAGGCATCATCACGAAAATAGTCAAAACGGCTTCAGGAGACCCCAAAACGTAAAATTCCGTCAAAAACTCGAGGTTGAAAAAATCATGATTCCTATACTTTCCTTATCTGTAAACAGACAGGAAAGTAAAAATGAGCTATTGTTTCTAAAGTTGGCCTAGGAAAAATCCACGCTTAGAACGAGTCATTATTCTTTTTAATTGTCAATTTGAATTTAATTCAGAGCCGTGCGTAGTTTTCACGGACTTGACTCTTCTGTCTTTCTGAATCAGTTTTTACGAAAAGAAAAACCAATTAAATTTTATAACATTCATATGTTGACCCATGAAAAAAAATATTAGCGCAACAGTTTTGAGTACAAAAGTTCCGGGATTCAAATAATTTTTTTTATCAAATTTATTTTATAAATTAGTAATATTCATAAATTTGACTCTTAAATTGTTTTTAAAATCTTTATATAATTGAACACGTCGCCGTTGATCGCTGTCAGTCTTTTAATTTTAATATGTCTGAATGATAATAGAAATGGTGGTTATTATAATCCCAAAGTGGGTATAGGAGGTGGAACGTGTAATCCAGTAAATACAACTGCAGGAATTTGCATACAATAACCATCTACTCCCTCATGGTATGGTGTTGGTTCGTGGTAGAAGTGTGGCCTTGAGACAACCAATCACAAATAGTTTCAAAGGAGAAAAAATATAAACCAAAAATCGTACACAGTTGAAGACCTACTGGAACTAGAAGAGCAGCAAAACCAAAATAATGCACGTATAAATAATAGTGCACCCTGTACTACCATAATCACAAACTCGCTTGAAAATCTGGAAAAAGAAGTTACCACAAGTGAACTTGGAAATGAAGTTAGTCAAAAACCAGAAACAGGACAAAATTAGTCACTCAAACTCAAAAACGCCCAAAAAAACTGCTGCAACCGTAACTATTGGAAAAACGACTAGATTAAGGTCTGGCTCATCCAGTCAGAAAAATAATTAGGTAGTATATAGGTGTACATACGTTTTTAATAATTCTTACATATACTAGGATTTATTTATTTATTTAATAAATATAAGATTTTACTGGTTTTTATTAAATGATTTTATTATTTTTATCCAACACTATTTAACAATTAGACCAAGGATGGTAAAATCTTATGTGTATTTTAAATTATATTTCCTGTTTATTTGTTAACTTATAAGTTGTTCAGCTAGAAATTAGTCTCTTAAATTTGTTTTGCTTAATATTTAAAAAAAAATTGTACTACTCAAATTTACCCAAGAAAAAACAAAAAGTGTACAGATTCGTACAAAAATGGATCAGTATATTCGTGACTTTCAACTTTCAAGTTGATTCTATCAAAACATATTCGCTTGATACCTTGGAAGAATGCCAAAATATTTTACAAATTAATAATAATGTTGCTAACTTTAAAATTCTAAACACAAATATTCGAAGTATTAACAAAAATTATGAAGAGTTTAATGTAACTCTAAATAGTTTAAACAGTGATTTAGACTTAATTATTCTTACAGAAACGAGATACGTATTGAATACAAATATTTTTAATATTTCGGGTTATAATACGTTGTATAATAAAAGCACATATAATCAAAATGACGGTGTAGTTGTATTTCTTAAAAATTCTTTTCAGTATAGATATGAGATTCTTGAAATTTGTAATAATATAAAAGCTATACAAATAAAATTGAATTTTGAAAATCGACAGGCCCTGATTTCCGCTGTATACCGATCTCCAAATTCAAATGCCCGTGAATTTAATGAAGGCCTATACACACTCTTGGAAAAAGATAAAGATTGTAATGACTATGATCTAAATATTTTCACTGTTGATATAAATATTGACTTATTGAAAACTGATGATCAAGTCGCCACAGAATATTTAAATATCTTGAGTGAATTTGGATATTCTTCTATGATAAATGAGCCTACGCGAGTCCAAAATTCTAGCAAAACATTGACCACATATTTTTAAAAAATAAAGTAGATTATAATAATACTTTACCTATTGAAGTAAAAACTAATATTACTGATCATTACATTACCAGACTTCAAATAGTTCTGGACACAGTTAAAATAACAGAAAACAAACGTACTGGCATTGACTTTATCAACACTGACATGATGCATAATAAATTTCGGCATATTAATTGGACATCTGTGTATTCTTCTCGAGATGCAAACGCTGCCGCAGATGAACTAGTTAATACCATTGTAGACACAATCAAATTATGCAGTCAAACACATCAACTACGTAGAAAGCATACAAAAATCGCTCCTTGGGTTACAAATGCGATATTAAAATATATAAATACAAAAAACCATATGCATAAAAGGTTACAAAAAGATCCACTCAATATGTTACTAGTAAATGAATATAAGTCATACAGAAATAAATTAAATTATCTCATTAAAAAAAAACTAAATTTGAATATTTTAAATCTCAAATTGACAATAACTCACATAATCCTAAAATCTTGGGGACTTTCATCAATAAAGTTAGTAATACAGTAAAAACCAAACAACCAATAAAAAAAATTAAAAATGATAATGGTAATGTACTCTATAAGAATATTGATATTGCAAATGAAATGAATAATAAATTTGTTGAAACTGGTAAAATATTAGCAAATAAAATTAAAGTGGATAACGACTATAAATATGAAAGGACATTAGTTAATTCATTTGTGTTTTCACCAATTGGCAGTGATGAGCTTAAAAAAGAAATACTAAACTTGCCAGATAAAAAAGCAACCGGTACGGATAACTTACGGAGTGAAACAATAAAAAGTATTACTAATTATATTCTGGAACCATTTACTTCTAAACCGATGTGTCGAGGAAGGTATATATCCATTAAAAGTTAGTAATTCTTATATACAAAACAGAGGATGACACCAATGTTGGTAATTATTGACCTATTTCACTTATTTCTCATATGTCTAAAAGTATTTGAAAAAATAATTAAAAAACGTCTTTCGTCATACATAAAAAAATACCATGTGTTATCTCAAAATCAATTTGGTTTTAAGGAAAATACTTCTACACAAAATGCTGTACTAGCTTTGACATCGACAATAACTAATTCCCTTAATAAAAGTAAACCATGTCTGTGCATATTCATAGACCTGTCCAAGGCCTTCGATACTGTGAGTCATCAACTACTGTTACAATCACTAAATGATATCGGCATTAGAAATAATGTACTAAACCTCTTTAAATCTTACTTAAGTAATAGAACTCAGGTTGTAAAAGTCGATAATGTAAGCAGTGAAAGGGTCTTGGAATATGGAGTACCATAGGGGTCTGTGTTAGGACCAACGTTATTTAATTTATATGATCTTTTTTCTTTAAAGTGCAATGGGAAAATTATTGGTTTTGCAGATGATACTGCAATTTTCTTTGAAGCTGACAATTGGTATGACCTGAAAAAAAAGGCTGAAAAAAATTTTAGTATAATAAAAAAATGACTTGATTTTAAATTACTGACTGTAAATAAGCTAAAAACCCACTACTTACCCTTTAGCTGCATAACATCTGATTTACCTAATTTTAATATTAATGTGGACAGTGAGCATGAATCTTTTTTGATTGCTCCTGTAAAACAAATTAAATATTTAGGAATTATTATCGACTCCTAAAGTGGAATTAACCTACATATAGAACACATTGTAAATAAACTGCGATGTATTTTGTATAAATTTAACATATTTAAAGACATATTACCTTTTGAATACATGCGGCTGTTATATTTATCATTAATGGAAAGCCATCTTCGTTATGGTATATGTGCTTTAAAAATTCACTTAACGTCATTGGAAGTAGTTCAAAAAAGGTCTTTAAAAATAATTTACAGAAAAGAACGTATGTATAATACAGAAGCACTCTTTGAAGAAACAAAACTTTTAACTATTAGACAATTATATTTTTTAAATTGCATTGATTTATTTCACAATAAAAC